CTGCCGCGCAGGGAGCCCAATGGGGGACTCGATCCCGGGACTCCAGGATCATGACCTGAGCCGAAGGCAGTCGCTTAACCAACTGAGCCACCTAGGCGCCCAAAAATTAAAGGATTTTAATGGTGATTTCATGACTGATACCCTTCTCTCTGCTCCCACCAGTGCCAGTTCCAGTTCCAGGATGTCTCAACTATATTCTAGACATTTCCACATGGTTGTGCCACTCTTACCTCAAAACCAAGATGTCTAAGACTGTGTTCACAAGCCTCCCTTTCAAACTAATTCCCCTCTCTTATCAGTGTTACCACTATCCTTCCAGTTACTTGGGCTCACATTTTGAAATTCTTTTTGCCTTTTTCAGCCTATCATTAAGTTACACCGATACTTCTTTCAAAATATCTTCTGTATCTGTCACCACACAAATCTGAACTCTAATCTTTTATTTTTTTTTTAAAGATTTTATTTATTTATTTGAGAGAGAGACAGCGTGAGAGAGGGAACACAAGCAGGGCAAGTGGGAGAGGGAGAAGCAGGCCTCCCGCCGAGCAGGAAGCCCGATGCGGGACTCGATCCTAGGACCCTGGGATCATGACCTGAGCCTAAGGTAGATACTTAACGACTGAGTCACCCAGGCGCCCCTGAACTCTAATCTTTTAAATCATGGATTGTGTTGGGGTGCTTGGGTGGCTCAATTGGTCAAGTGGCTGACTCTTGATGTTGGCTCAGGTCGTGATCTCAGAGTCCTGGGATTGAGCCCTGCGTTGGGCTCCGTGCTAGACGTGGAGCCTGCTTAAGATTCTCTCCCTCTCCCTCTGCCCCTGCCCCCCCTAAATGTGTGTGTGTGTGTGTGTGTGTGTGTGTGTATATAAATGTATACACACAGTATAGTCAGCACTCAATTTCTGGTTTCATTTATCTTGATATGGAAATACGATACCTTGTAGTCTTTGGAGCACCTTTTAAAAAATTGTCCATTTGACAGAGAAATGCAGAGAAGTTTGGTGTTTTTTAAAATTTTGTTTTGTTTTTAACAAAAGGGACCCTTTAGGGCCATGATGTCAGCTAAGGGGATAGGCTAGCTGGTCTGTGCAAGAAACTGTATGGTCTAGACTGAGAATAGCCAGAGGTCTGTGGTTTTGTGGTTTCACTTGTGTTTGAATAATGCTAATGCTGTGCTATGGCAACAGAGAGATGGTGGGAAGAGTCTGTTAAGAAGAGAATATCTTGATCATTTGGGCCAGGTGGGCTGTGAGCTGATTCAGTTTCATAATTTTTTAAATGAGGAAGGAGAAGCAGAAATCTGCACTGCATCTCTTATGGGCCAATGCCGTGATCAGGATTACACATTGGATTTGGGAAAAGAGACCTCCCTCTCTGGGTGCCGCTTTTTTTGTTTTGTTTTGGAGACTTACTGGTTTAATGCTCAGAAGGCATCTGTGACTTAGTTTCTTAGTCCTACCTAGTCTTATTTCTGTTGCTTTCTCTCTCTCTTTTTTTTTAATTTACATTTTTAAAAGATATTTGTTTACCAATTTATTTATTTTTCAAAGATTTTATTTATTTGACAGAGAGAGACAGTGAGAGAGGGAACATAAATAGGGGGAGCAGGAGAGGGAGAAGCAGGCCTCCTGCTGAGCAGGGAGCCCAATTCAGGGCTCGTTCCCAGGACTCCAGGATCATAACCTGAGCCGAAGGCAGACGCTTAATGACTGAGCCTCACAGGTGCCCCAAGGTTCTTATTTATTTATTTGTTAGAGACAGAGGGAGCACAAGTAGGGGGAGCGGCAGACAGATGGAGAAGCAGGCTCCCCACTGAACAAAGAGCCCGATGTGGGACTCCATCCCAGGATCCTGGGATCATGACCGGAGCCGAAGGCAGATGCTTAACCAGCTGAGCCACCCAGGCGCCCCTGATGTGCATTTTTTTTAAGATTTTTTTTTTTTTAAGTAAATTTTTAAGCCCCAACATGGGCCTCGAACTCACAACCCCAAGACCAAGAGCCACATGTTGCACCAACTAAGCCAGCCAGGCGCCCCTCTGTTGCTTTCAAGTTGATCTTTCTAATCTATCCAGAAGAACTTCTGTACTGTCTTTTATTTTTTTAAAGATTTTATTTATTTATTTGACAGAGAGACAGCATGAGAGAGGGAACACAAGTAGGGTGAGTGGGAGAGGGAGAAGCAGGCTTCCCGCGGAGCAGGGAGCCCAACGCGGGGCTCGATCCCAGGACCCTGGGATCATGACCTGAGCCCAAGGCAGACGCTTAATGACTGAGCCACCCAGGTGCCCCTCTTTACTGTCTTTTAAACATGCTGTACTCATTTCAATATTTGAGCCTTTGCCTGTGCTGTGCCCTTTGCCTAGAGTACTTTGTCCTTGCCCTCAGGTGCTCTCTCTTTAGTGAAGTCTGTCCACAAGTTAACCCTTCCCTTCTCTAACCTTTACTCCATAGCTGGGATTATTTGAACTGGTTTTTTTCTCTTAAGGTTTTTAATGCTTTGCATTTTCATCGTAGCTGTTATGAATGTTTGTCTTAGATCCTACTGAATTATTTGAAGGCAGAGATTGTAATTCAGTCACCTAGTGAGTTCTCACTGAGTAGTTATTGAATTGACTTCAGTCCATTTCAGAAACCTCCAGTGTTCAGGCAGCGGGGAGTGTAGTACCATTCTCTCTGGCTTGTACTTTGAAGAACTCCAAGGCTTAAGTGGCACGGTTTCCTTAAACTCCTAATTCCATGCAGGCAGTTTGTTTGTTTGTCAGAGAGAAAGAGCAGAAGCATGGGGAGTGGCAGGCAGAGGGAGAAGCAGCAGGCTCCCCACTGAGCAAGGAGCCTCATGTGGGACTCGATCTCAGAACCCTGAGATCACGACCTGAGCCGAAGGCAGACACTTAACCGACTGAGCCACTCAGACATCCCCCATGCAGGCAGTTTTTTATTTCATAAATAATTAGGTAAATTCCAGGGGATTGGGGCTGAGCAATTTTCTGGGATTCCTGTGTCTTTCTCTCTCTCCTACTTGATGATTTAAGGTTAAATTCTTTTTTGATCAAGCTGAATCAGTTTACCTTTTCTTTTTTTTTTTTTAAAGATTTTATCCATTTATTTGACAGAGAGAGACACAGCGAGAGAGGGAACATAAGCAGGGGAGGTGGGAGAGGGAGAAGCAGGCTTCCCGCCGAGCAGGGAGCCC